GAAACCAGCTGGGGTTTCCGGGTGAAATGGACCCTCCCAGCCTCGTGGGCCGCGGAGACAGCATCAAGCCCCGCTAGACGGACCCATCTCTTCCCCGCCACGGGCCTGTCTCTGGCAATGCCTCCCGGGGACGTGACCCACGTTTTCCATCGTGCTGCATCGTGCTGGGGAGCAAAGGCAGTGGCAGGTGGAACTTCTGGTGCCAGCATGGGAGTCGGGCCATGGCACCAGACTGTGCTATAGCTGCGTTCTGCCCACCGCTCACTTTAGGGGGAAAAGCCAGTTTTCCTAAGAGTGTCTTTGATGAAGCGGAAGAAAGGGCCAAGTGTTCTCCATTGAACCATCCGTGTACAGGGAGCACGTCTGCTGTGCGCCTGCAGGTGTAAGTACAAGGGAACACGGCATCCCAGCTGCCACATCCCTGGTGTGGCATTCTCACTTGACTGAAAAACTACAGTGGGTAGGATTGAACATTGGTAAATATTTTCTCAGAAATGAACTAAGTAGATCTGTCACCTCAAAGGAAACAGCTGAGCGTATTTGCTGCCAATTATAAAAGTCAAGCTTTCTAAAAGAAAATTCAAATCTTGGAAAATTTGCATCTGCCATCATGAGCTTGACAGCTTCCCAAATACGTAGCCTTTCCAGATAAGCCCGGCGGCAATATTAAAGAATGTAGTTCTTAAAAATCATTGACTAGTGCATAAAATGTGTTAACACAGCATATTTTCTGAAGGACCGATGCGTCCTATTACAGAACCACAGAAGAGTGAATGAGTGAGACACCCACTCAAAGTGCAACGTAAATGTGGATTTTAATGTAACTTCAATGAAAAATGAAAACTTCATTGATACGGTTTAAGGTTCCACATTGTAACTAACCTTCAAGAAACCTCCACCTGCTGAGTTTTGATACAGTAACCCCGGAAGAGTATCCACAATTCTCTGAAAAAACTGTAAAACACTTCTCTCTTGGGGGGAAGGGTGTAGCGCAGTGGTAGCGAGCATGCTTTGCAGGCATGAGGTCTGAGTTTCAATCCCTAGTGCCTCCATTAAAAAATAAGAATAAGAAGGAAAGAAAACTAATTACCTCCCTCCCCCAAAAACAAAACAAAAATAAGTAAATAAATAAAATTTTAAAAATACTTCTCTCTTTTCCAACTACTTATCGACGTAAGGCTGGATGTTTTTTATGAACCTCAGCGCGACGTAACGTAACAGCAGACTGGCCGCAGAAGCAGGTGAGAACCTAGCTGTCTTCTGGCAACCAGGCATCAGAGGGGTTTGCCAAAGTGTGAAACACTGACTTTCTTCTTATTAGATATTTACGTTTTATAACTTTACTATTAAACTTTTAATTTATAATCAGTAATGATAATTAATTTTATTGGTATGGACACATCTTTGTTATTTATAGCATATTTACAGAAGCACTTTGTTTATGCTACATAGTCTGATTACGTAAACCTATCTGGGCTTCCATAATAAGATGTAAGATGGACTTATAGTTATTAAGTAAGTTAATCAATATTTGAAAGGTTTTCCGCTTCCAGCTCTGACGCGGGAGTATTGGCAATCGGGACCAGCAGACGAAGGGCCTGAGAGTCCTCGGTGAAGTGTGAGAACCACTGTCCTGCTTTCAGTAGATTATTGCTGCTACCCTGATTCACTTATTTTGTCTATAAAGTGGGGTTTTAAAAAGCACAAAGGATCGAGGAAAAACGAAGCGTGGTTTCGAATCCCGTCAAATGCCCCTGGAAACAGGCATGACCGGGGGAGTCTCACCATCGACGCTGCCGAGCGTGGATCGGCCACGGCTGAGCGGGGACCTCGTGGTTTCGCGGCTTCGCCCAGCGTCCCCGAAAGGACGAGCGAGGGAGGCCTCCGCGAGGAGCTGCGTGACGCTGCGG